GATATGAAATATGCCATTATGTACCTCCACACATAACAAACCTAAAGCAAGACAGGAGAGGATTTTTTTTCAAAGGTAAACACATACGAGAAAGAGAGAGAGTGACAGAAAAATGGGAAGAAAGAATGAAGGAGGAAGCATTAAAAATATAGCAAGGGGCAGAGGGGGAGGGGAAGGATTCATTTTGTATCACTTTTCTTTGCCAAACCATAAACACAAGGACACTCAGCAGTTCATTCTTACTCAATGTTTCCACATTTTTCTGCTGTTTTCCATAGGTGGGGCAAAAATGACAAAGGACCAAGCCAAGTTTTCCATTGGCCCTGATATTAATATGGAAGTGCTTCTCCAGTATGTGAGATATCTTATTTTTGCTTTCCCTTGTGGTTTGTATCTGAGTTGCAAACTCAGTGTTTCTACGCTTGTTTCCTCTGTAGAAATAGAAAATCCTGAAGTCCACAGTACATCTCCTGTTTGCTTTGCCCAGAACTGCTGGAGTGACAGGTAAGACGACGTACTGTGGCTGAGGTCTGAGCGTGCTGAGAGTTACTGAGGGTTGTGGGCCCTCAGAGAGCCAGCTCTGTGGCCCACTTTGTTTTAATTCCAAACTGAACAGGTCAAACACCAGCAGGGAACCAGGAAACCCAGCAAAACACTGCCTCGTGGCCATTGTATATGCCTATGATGGAACCACAGGTTTTATGGAAAAAGGATAGACCAAGAACAGTTTTTTCCCATTCAGCATTAGCAATCCCAAGTGTTTAAAAATCATGAGTCAAGCCTCGTGTAATCACTAGGGTGGTTTAAAAGGGAAAATATTTGAAAATGTCACCCATTAAAATCTTCTTTTTGCCTCTTAGATTTTGAACCTTCTATAGCTCTTGTTTTCAGCAGTCAGAAACATTTATTAAAGAAAGCATATAAGTGTATTAAAAAAAAAAAAAAGCAGCAGTCACAGGATTCCGGGAGCCAGAGTTTTAAGAAAATCTTCAACTATAGGCAACATATTTTGCATAGTATTGCAAGATGTGGCAATGCTTTGCTTTGAGCATTCTCTGAGAGCTATTGCTCTTCTTGATGAACTCCATTGCTGAGCCATAGCTCTTTTTATCACAAATTAAAGAGCAAAGAAGAAAACTCCGAACAACTGTTACCTTCAGTGCCATTCAGCTTAGTAGTGCCTAATCACATGACATAAAATCCTGAAAGCTCACAGAAATTTGTCTGTAAAAAGGAAGTTTTAAAATATCAGATCAACCACCTCCTCTTAGATAATGGTTTAGGTAACAACGTCCCTAACCCCACAGCCTTGAGAGAAAACTGGAGATAGGAAAGACAAGAGAAAGCACCTGAGCCCTTTGGATCTGGTACGCATAGTTTACAGCTTTAACTGTTACCATTTATCCATCAAAGGACTCTAATTTTAATATAACACAAAGAACACCATGTTAGCCACTTACGGGAACAAGTAATTGTGCAACTGCGTTACTCTTAATTAATGCACTGTACCAAAGCTTGAGTTGCAGTAAATATTGCATCATTCTTGTTTCCATACGGGTAATGCTCTGCCCTGATCGTGAGGTCAGAAGCAAGTTTTTCAGTGATGTGAATGGTGCAGGGTCAGGTCTCAAGCGAACACAGATCAGCTGCTTACTTCTGGGTTTTCAGTAACTTGATATTGCTGTGTACAGAGTCCGGGAAAGGCCATGTGTAGGGATGTGACTACAACAGCTGGGAAGAGCAGGGGAAGTCACTTTTTTTAACACTTCTGCTGAAAATAAGTTCTGTTTATCTACATTTTTCCCCCAAGGTGTGCCACTAGGGAGTTTAATGACAAACAAAACCAAAAGGAAGTCTTAAGCAATACTGCAAATGTTACAAAATTTATTTATGAGGTTTTTCCCTTAGACATGTGACACTGGGGTTTTAGGCTGCAGAATATTTTTGTTTCCAGAGACATGAAACAGTGGCTCTCTAAAAGAAAAAAAAGTTACTTGCACAAAATCTATTAGTTTTGCATCAATATTTTGTTCACTAATTTCCTCACGTAATTCACCTGATTTCACTTGATCCCATACAGTTGTTCAAACCACACAACATGGTCAAATTCTAAAGAAATAAGCAATGGATTATTAAAAAGGTGAGGGGAGAAGGGGTGGCTTACCAAAATATCACCAATATATCCTAGCAACAAGCAATGTTTGCAGTTAGCAGTTAATTAATTCAATTAACTGTATGTAATACATTAACTGCACATAATTCAATTCATTGGCCATCTAGTCTCCAGAGACTCTTGATTACTCAAACCCAGAGATCTTTGAGATGACTGTTTCATTCTATGCAGTGGCTATAAAGACAGTATGTACTAGATCCAGTACTGTTGTTAGGTGCCTAAAATATTGAAATAGTTTATATTAAAAAAAAATCATGACAAGAAAGTTGACAGGGATATAGCTACCTACCACATAGCTAATGGAAGAATGATGCAGTCAAGGGTGTTTCCATGAGCTTGTCCTTGAAACTCTCCCTTCTCTGGGAAAGGCAAACCCTAGCTTCCAGTCTGTATCCAAAGAATTGCTTATACATACCCAGTGGATGTTATTGTAAAATACAAGAGTCTCGGACACCCATGATGAGTCTGTTCAAGCATTCAGCCAGAGGAGTCATTCTCAGGCTCTGTGTTGCTCCTTATACAATGGGAAGAACGTTGTTCCTCTCCTACACCTTACTTTAAAACAACCTATACACAATAGCAAATCCTTGGAAGTAGGAAATTGGGATCTGAAAACCCTTGGGAAAGAGGAAATTTATTTGGCCTCTGCTTTAATGACTAGGTTGCCTTCATCAGCCACTTTTTATAAGGGACGCAGTTCTGTTAGACATGTTAGATGTTCCCAATGGTAGAGCGCCCCCTCACTTGGCCAGACTGGGGCTGCCAAATTGAAACTAAGCCATGCTTCATTTCCAGATTCCCATCAAGCTGAGAAATGAGACACTTTTAAGGTAGGAAAGTACGGTTTCTGTAGAGTTCAGGATCTCTAAGTCAGTAGGCTGTAGCAGGGGTATATTTGGATTATACTTTGTGCTTGGTTTTTGCATATTTCATTTATTAGAATTGACCTCATGAGTACAACTGTTTTCTTTTGGATAAGATCTTAGTTAAACTACTGTGCCTTTTGTTTTTGTCACTAGTTTATCTGTATTTTTTAATTTATTTGTAGGCAACTGATAGTGACTAGAATGAGAAACTGGTGATTTACATAGAACATCTTAATCTGAATTTACTTTTGAAATCACATTCCTTTCATTACTTCATGTAAATAAATGACATTCATTAGGATATCTTTAAAACTAATTTAATTCAGATCTTCATTATTGTCCTTCCAAGACTGCAGATTTTTAAATGCAGAAAATGTTAATTTTTTATCCTGTTCTGTCTCTTTGAAGGATTTATTTTGATAAGGAAACTGACCTTCAATATGACTCTTTGTTATGTTACTTAGTCATTATATTAAACTGACCTCAGAATATTCCTGTGAGGTTGATGTCACTATTACAAATTTTGAAAATATAGGTACACTAACTTAAGTGTCACATAAGTCACATAAGAAGTTTGTAGACTGTGTTGTACTTCTGGAATCAGATTCTGTCATTTTCTTAAATATCCTAGAATCGCTTCATAAGGAAAAGATCCCAAAAGCAATAATTTGATTATGGTGAGAGACACCATCAGTATTGCCATCATCCCCATTCCACAGATGGGGAAATTCAGGCAAAGAGATGACAAGTTTTGGTCAGAACTGGTAGTACCAGAGAAAGCTCCTGGCTGTCACACCGGTGTGTCAGTCATGAGATTATATTTCCACTCTGGAACTCAGAGGCATGTAACTGTATTTATCCATTTCTTAAAAAGACATTGGAAGCCTACCTTGTTGTGAATAAAAGTTTGAATTAAACTTCTCAGCAAGTATCTAAAATCTTATTTCTTCTAGGTTTTTCATGGGCCAGTTTTTTCATTATTTTTCATTCTCATTATGTAAAGTGAAGAAGATCCACAAGTCCTCTATTTAAACACACCTTCAGTTTAGGAAGGTATTATCCTTACTTTGCATCCCAGGTATTAGTACCTCTAATCAAACTAACACCCACTTTCTCAGTCAAATATTTCAAGGTCTTCGAACAGAAAATGATAGGCACAAGGCATCTGATACACAAATGGAGTAACTTAAAACTTGGGTTTCAAAATAAAAATTTATATAAAGTTAAGGTGATACTATCACTAAATATTGGATCAATTTTATTTCTATAACATTATTGTGTTTCTGACAATTTATTGGAAATATCCAATTATGTAGACAGTGGCATCTGTTACAGTTAGAGGCTGAAAATATGGGTTAATTAACAGTAGGCTATCTGTCTAAATCTGAGATGTCTGTTAGCATGTCATTAACACCTTAAAGGAAAATGGAATGGGAAAAAAAAAACAACCCAAACTTAAATCCATTTTTTAATCCAGGTATTATTACTAGTTTGAGGCATGCAAGACAGCTTACATTTTTTAGCTACTTGACTTTAAGCACTTCTAAAAGTCTTGGAGCCAAATAAAAAGTTGGAAGAGTGTGAGGAAAGAAAAACAACCTAGCTCTAGTATTTTTGCCAGTCCTGCTGTTTGGAGACTCCCTTTACCATTTGTATTTAATTTTCCTATCTTAGTACAAACCATCTTTCCAACAGCTCCTGAAAGACAAGACGTGCATCTCCCCTGAGATCACCCCAGCAGGAAATTACCAGAAATTAAGGGCCCAGCCTTGCAAATATTTTGTCACGTGAGTAACATTAGTCAATGGGATACCCATATGTAAGTGCTGGCCTGATCAGTATCTAAAGTTGGCAGCTACAGGTGTACTCCTTAAATAATTCAGTCTAAACTGTAAGTCTGCATTATACAACATATACATCAGCCAATTTTATTGAAGATGTTTCAACTCATACTAGTTCGAGTTATTTTATCATGCTGTTTTTAATAATTTTCTTGCCTCCACTACTCATCCTCATGTAGCTGTATGTTATGAACACCGAATTGGGCATGACATTGAGATTCTAGTGTAATGCAATCATTATGGAAAAACTGACATTCACATATGTTTATGTTTAGCCTCAATAGGAAGACAGTCAGTCACTTTATACCAGGTTACAACAAATATGATTTTAATTATTCCTCTTGTGAAAAATACTTTTCACCTATGATTGCTACCAAAATCACTGCAAAAATGCAATTTGTTTTACATGGTTTCTAAGACTTTGTAATCCTTTGAATGTAAAAATATATGTTGTGAACAAACATTTTATTTAAATTGGAAGGAAATTAAATATTTTTTTAAAAATCAAATAAAAATGAATACATGTCCTAATGAATCTTTCAAATTTTCATATGAAATCACAAACCTCTCCTATCATAAGTAAAATGATTGCGATTCAGTAAGATTCATGGCTGATTAATTCCAAGGAACTTAGAAGGTTATTCCAAAGTGCTGCTTCCATAATTAGTGATGTTAGAACTGCTCTTTCAGTGATGTTTATCTTTGGATGAAGTGATCCGCTTCATAATTTGGATTCCCCAGAATGCAGCGCAGAGGGAAAACAAGACCTACAACACAGAATTTAAAATGAGAAACATAAGATAAGATTTTTTAAATTATACTTGTCTGCAAATATAATGAATGGGTGAAAACCAAGAGCTCCCAAATAGAAAACTATACAAGAATTCTAGGCATACTGATAAGTTCACTTTAGGAATGTATGCTTTCTTTTTTCTATTACTCTTTATTGTGTACATTCTTGTTTGAATTTGTTCTTTCTGAATGGTACCAAAACAAGGTAACTGGCAAAGTCTGCATGACCTTCCTTACTTTGTAATTGAGTTTGGATTTGGAGTACTCAAAGTCATATATAAGAAGACAGGACAATAATGACACCAGCTGTGACAGAAGGTACGTGCAAAAAAGTTAACTGTTTTTTTGACAAATGATCTGAAGAATGCTGACATTGTAAATTGCATGGTAGGGTACAAATACCCAAAGTAGACTTAAAGAGAATCTATGGCAAAAGAAGTGTTCTGGCTGCAGTACAATGGATCAGTACTTATTCCCCAACCTGCTATTTATGATGAGATATAAACCAGACTACAGACAACTTAAAGATGTAATACTCTTTATCTTGTTCTTGGCTCTGTGCATCTTTTTTTTTTTTTTTAGTCAGTGAATTTTAATGAGATATCTAATTTTTTATTTTTAATTAGTTTATTTGCTGGAAACTGCTTTGAGATGAGCAGGAATACTTGCAGAGTGAAGTCTAATTCAGGTAATAGCTTTGTCCAAAAAAACAAGAAAGAAAGACAAAAAGTGTGTGCACATGTGTGTATGTGAAATTTTGTATTTTAAATTTTCTGAAAGAAACCTATGTCTTTCATGTAGAAAATTTTCTCTAAATTAGAAAATTGCAAAATTAGGGCAGTTGTTATGGGTTACTGAAGTAAGTGAATTTTTTTACTGTGAGTTAAACAAAACTTTCCATTTATACTGAAAGATATTTTGTTCACGTGACTTTTTGTTGATTTGAAGGGACAGAGAAAATTGAAAAGAAAATTAATTTGGGGGTCAGGTTATAATAATTCTTCTTTCAGGTTAATCTGCAATCAAAAGGTACTGACCAGGAGAGCTCCAATTTTAACATTAACGTCATTTAACATTCAACATTTAACAATGCATGGCCCAAAAATCTACTTCTGTCCTCATCTACACAGTCACTCACTGAAGTACATGAGAGCTGAGTGTCCAATATAAATAATAAATGACCATAATACCTCAAAGGTACTCATTTTGCACTCACTGAAGGGAATGTAATGGGATCAGGTGTGATCCCTCTCACAACCTATTTGGGACATGTACAGGCTTCATGTAATCTATACATTAACATACTTTGCAGCACAAGATGGAAATAACACAATGTATCAATAAGTACAATTCCAAAGAAAAAAAAAATCCAGTCCCCATTCGACCAGTATCAAGACAAATTCTATTTAACTATTTTCATTGAAGGCTTTAATTCTACTTGAGCAAGGGTATGCTGTCTACTGTGTTTAAAACTTCTGATGGCACTGTTGGTGCTGTAATTGTAGTCCCATTTGTAAGAAAGCCTCATAAAATTCTCACCAGAAGACTTACCTACAAGAGTTTCAGACTTTTAGGTATGAAAGATTTAACTTCTTTTTTTTTTTTTCCCTTGCATTATCACAAACACTTTGTAAAACTGCATAGCTCTATTTTACAGCTATGGAATGGAAAGACTTTTTAAGCAGTGCTGCAGGCACACACTGTCTGTGTTTTGTGAAATGTTTTATTTCTATGCTGAGATGACCCATAGAAGAAAATCAACCACAAATAACTATCTGTATTTCTGATTTGGCTGTTATGTAATTGGGATGAGTGTGAATTGTGACATACATAAAATGATGACTTACATATAACATGCTCTTACTGTGGAAAAATTCTTTGTCGAGCTATCTCCGGAAACAGATCTTATCCACTTGTCATAATTAGTACGTCTCTGACACGTTACTAAACTCCTTTCATTCCTCACCTCAGAAAGATCACTCCTATTCCTGGAAGATGCATTAAATATAGAAGTATTTCATTTTCAGAAGAAGCACGTTTAAGCACATTTAATGACTGAAGTGCAGGGCATTTGTAGGGGATTAATGACTGCTGGGAGATGATGATCACCTGAAGAAGCACAGCCATGGGCCATTAAGCCCCAGGAAATGTCCTCAGCTAAAGATGGTTATTGCTATTATAGCCCCAAAATGAAAAAAACATCTCAGGTGAATTTTTCTTTTAAAATGGAGTGGTGCAGTTTTTTCTTTCTTAATTAAATTCTTTATTGTGAATTTCTTAAAGCATGCTCAATACTTGTGGGGGCTTATTTCAAATTGCAGTTATTACATCCAGAATGAAAACCTACATACTGCACATTGTGGATCTGCAGAACTAGTTTGGCTTCATGATTCTATAAAAGTATTGATTCACTGCCTATCAATGTCAGGACTGCCAGTACTCGATGGAAATAACGTATTCATGAAGCAATAAGGCTGCAAGGTTGTGAGGGGTGGGGTTTGAGAAAAACCCAAACATCAGGGAAAAAAATTAAGGGGCCACATCCTCCCTTGCATGACAGCCATTCTGGCTGGCTCTGCTGTTAGAATGCTGACCTACTCTGAACAGAGCCAGCTGTACGGGGCTACCAAGCAGAAACTTGCTGTGTAGGTTGGAGTTCAGTTTCTTTTGATTGCTACTGCACACTTTGGAGTTGCAGGGCTTGACCCACTTGAACAAATGGTGCGATCAGGTGATGTCAGCAATGGAAAGTCGAGACGATACGTGACAGAATTTTGAGCAGACAATAGTGTGGGCAGCAGGAAGCAGCAGAAGAGCATTCCACCAGGCAACCTGAACTACAGTTGACCAGTATTTTCCTAATGCCCTCGGGAAAACATATTTCCTGAATCCTATGTGCAGATATTTTGTATTTCCCGTTCAACTCCCTCGCACCCTAACAGGTTGGGTTTTGGCTTTGTGTGGTTTTTTTTTTTTTTCCCCTTTGCAGTTTCTAAATTATCATCACAGAAATTCTCATTCCTTGTTGTATTGTCCAAACCAACTAATATTTGACCTTTAATAAAAATATTCACAGTTTCCTAATTCAGCCAGTTTTGAAATAAAAAGATAGAGTTAAATAGTACACATTTTCTATTTTTACACCAAGAAAAGTTCCCCCACAAAGAATATTACATAAGAACAATAGTTTCACTTCTGTCTTCAAATGAAAAATTACTCTGGATAGTGGTCATATATAGAACAGCTAGGCCCAAAAGCAGAATTTCTCACAACCATATATCCAACAAAGTTAAATGCAAAATTTTGCCACCTTAATATAAGCACTTGTTACATTTACCTGTTGAAGTAACTGCAGATTAATTATACACTGTCCTTTAGACTGCTGGAAGAGGACAGTCCTCTTCCAAATATTTACATTACCTCCTTTCATACAGCCTTTCTACTTCCATACAACCTGTATTCTCTCTCTGAATAAGCCTACAGAAATGTAAATAACGTTATTCACAAGAACAAAGACAGCTTAAGTAACGGATTGACTGCAGGACTGAGTCTGCTCTTCACAGGAAACTCCCACTGGAGTGATCAAAGTTTATTAGGCTGTAGAGAACTTTAAAATCATTAGCTAAATTCAGGTACCCACTTCTGCATGATTAACTTTGTTGCTGATCACTAATGTTATTTTCTGCCATTTTCTCTTTTGTAATGGCTTTCTATATCTGAGTTGCCTAGACATAGTGTCTTTCCTCTTGCAGATTTCATCTGGATAGAATTAGAAGGCTTTAGATATTGGTGCAGAAATGCAGACCACCATCCAATGATAGCCCTGCTTTAAGTGGGGGGAAAGCTCAAACCACAACACCTCAGATCCTTTCCAACTTAAATCATTCAATGATTCTCTGATGTTTCTCAGATTCTGCCCAGACATGTTCACTCCAAATTTCACTGCAGAGACAGTCTGCAACTGTGCAACAAATTGGCTATGTCTGGGGTACAACACCATAGGAATGGGTGTGTTTATGATAGTGACTTCTCTGAACACCTCTGTGCTGGGCAATGTATTCCTAGCTCTGGAGAGGGCTTGGGAAGATCAGCACATCCACATACTTCATTAGGCTGGCTCTTCACATCATAAAGTGGACTTGGTACTGGCAAATGTGATAAACAATGAGCCCTCTCAATGTGATGCTGAGTATTGTTTAATTGATACTGCAAATCAAACATGATTAAGGTTCTTTTTATATTCTTTATCTACAAATCTGGACACAGCTTCTTCAAATCCACCAGAAATCATTTCATACTATCAATATTAATGATAGAGTAATTTTTAGACTTTAGCTGAGAAGGCTGTGTCTGGGTAATGTAATTATCCTTTTCTAGTAAAGATGGAGATAATGAACTGATGTAACAGTTAATAAAAAATACTAATATTAGTAGCAAAATGGTTGAATAAACTACTCCAGGTTTCACAAGTACCTACGTGGTGCAGTTTTCATTAATACCATCACTGTTTTCCGACTTCTCTACACAGGACTGCTTCAGGTGCTGAACTACACAGAGATAGAAAATACATGTCTCAGAAATGGGGAAAGAAGTTCGCTATTTCTGGAAGTCAGGATTTGGGTAATAAGTGCATGGATCTTCATTCTTAGTACAATGTTTGGAGATGAGCAGTCTGAGGCTAGTAGAGAAATGCCATGGCATTAACAGCAGATCCAGGAATCACTAATCTTGTACAGTGCAGGGATCAAGAAGATTGCACTAGCAAAAAAGCTGCAATAACAATACCTGGAAAGGGAAACCAAGAAACAAGAAGGTTCCTTCTCTGTGTGATGCTTTCCATATAGTTGGAAATATACGGAGAAGGTAGTGGGAAGCTGATTTTTTTTTGGGTTTTTTTTTTTGTGACGGAACTGTGGATAGAAGGGAACAGGGACAACTACGATAGTAGTGGCTTCACAGCATTTGCCCAAGATTT